CCGGTCGACGCGGCGACACACGGCGCGTCACGAAAATAAACCGGCCGAACGGCTTTGGCCACGCTACACCAAGTGCAGCTACTATAGGCAAAACCACTTCTAACCCGCGTCGTGCTGGTTGTGTTTGTAAAAAGCACCATCACAGCGAAAGCCCAGCACAGACTGTGGAGTAGTATAGTATACTACGCGTAGTACTACAGCACACACGCGGCCCTGAGCAGAGCAGCGCAGAGAGGGAGAGCGACGACGGCCATCTTTACTACGAGCGCGCGAGAGTAAAATCGGCCGCGTGCATACACGCGTACCAAGCCGCGGAGTTGCCGAGAGGCGGGATGCGCGGGGAAAGGACCGCGGCGTGGGTGAGCAGTTCTCGAGCTTCGGGTCACTCGCTACGTACAGCTCTCTCCCTCTCCGACGTCAACGCGACAGTTGATTCGTGCTCCCGGAGAACGTTGCCACCACCGAGTGAACTCTCGGCCAGATCGAACCGGTAGAAAGCACAGCTCTGCTCTCCTGTCCTTCGCTCTTGCTTTCTAGCATTTGACGCACATGCTACGTCACTGCTTTTGCAACAACAACGGCAACTTTGCAGTACGTTTGTACTTTTGAAAACGAAATACAACGCAATCGGCACTGTTTGTTGTATCCGGGCCAGCGACGGAATAAAGAAACCAAGCCGTTCTCTCGAAAGCGTCGTTAATAATTCACAAACGTCGCGAAACACGAATCGTTACTTATAGATGACTTCTCAACCGCATCATTTGTTAGCCAGTCATCAATTCCTTGTACGTAACGACTGCGACCTCCGACCCTTTCGTGCGGCTCTTATGTAAAAATATAATTATCATTGTAGAGCGGACAAAAAGACGCGAATACGAGAAACTAGAAAGCCTGAGGCAATAATAAGAAAGAACCCAGGGCTTAATGACTCGGGTCAAAGAAAAAGGAAGAAAAAATGACGCGTTATCCTACAGGCAGGATAACGAATCAGCTAGATGGGCTCCGATGAGTGACGGCCAAATTTACAAAATGACCTCCACGGACGCGACGTAAAAGATGAGTGTTTTAAGGAAGTAGGAGGTACGTTGGAGTGTTGAAAAACAGAGCAGGACGGAAATGCAATGCAAAATTAACGCTCGAAGCGGAAACACAAAAACTATTGAACAAGTTGGCACCGTTTCGTAGAATGTAGAGATGTTCATATGAAAAAGAAGACAAACTAACAACTACGGTATTCTGTCCGAGGTCGAATAACGCCTATAATCGAAATCGCTCACGCAGAAGAATTGACGCGTACGAAATAATTATCGGAGTAAGGTGTAGCGAGGAAGAACAAGGAGATTGACGGACGCCAGAGAAAAACAATGGGAAAAAGGCGAAAGGCCGCATCTCGTGGAAGAAAGAAAGAAAGACGACGCTACAGCACAAGTGTATGTAAATATAAGGAAAGGACGCGTGGTGGTAAGGAAAGCAGAGCAAAGGCGAGCAGCAAGGAAGAGGAAAGGAGGGGAAGTACGGGCAGAAAGGCACAATGGACGCGAAAGGGGGCGGGAGAAAGACGCGAAGACGGAAAGAAGTGGGAAAAGAGTCGAGCGCAGTCGGGAGAACGGAGCGTACAAGGGCCCTTCGGCCAAAAGACCAAATGGCAAGCGGCTCAAGGCTAAACGCAGCAAGCGGTGCGGAAGGCACCGTCGAAGAAGCTCATTGGATATTCTAGATTAGGCCATTTTCTTTCGAATCTACCGATATTATCTATCGGTATTATTAGCGAGCAACTGACCGAGCTCTGCGTACGCCAGTTGAATTTCAAGTCAACTTCGGCTAGCGAGCCGTTTGTCATGGGAAAACAGCCAGAATAGAACAATCGTCTTTTTCACGTTCCCATGAAAAAACGCTTTGATATATAACCACTATCCGAAAGAAAAGCAGCGCACTCTCCGTCGTTGGCTCCCTCGTTTCACTTTAATTACGCGTTATACTTTTTCGAGCAATTTGCCAGTTGACAGACTAGTACTTTTCCCCCACTTCCCTCACTCGAATACCTAATAATAATGTCGACTTGAATCTGGAAATATTGAAAATTATCAAAAGTACCTAGGTCCTACAGGCACCACAGCCAGTGGCGCGTTCCAAACGAATATTCGATAAGCGAAAGAAGTAGCGTTGCCACAGACCTACGTGATTGCAGACGCGCTGATTTTTCATAGCCTCTCGCTTGGAAGAAAAGTCGCACAGTCTGTAATTAAGCGCGCAGGAGGCTCTAACGAAAAAGTAGAAATTCCTCGGCAGGCTGCAAATTAGAGCCGAGCGCAGGAGAGGCTGGAGAACATGTTCGACGCAAGCTTTAACAAAAAAAAAAGAAAAAAAATAAATAAAAGAGGAGCATCCCTATCGGCGCTCTCGCGAGCACGACCGCTATGGCTCTCATCCTCGCGCGCGGCTTTCCACGGCCAATTCGCCTCCGCTCGGCTCTCTCTCTCTCTCTCTCTCTCTTTCCCTCTCCCTCGCTGCATTCGCGCTAGCTGTCACTGCTGCACATGTATATGCCCGTAGGTTCTGCGCAGCCAGCAGCCTCTATTTTGCCATTTCCCTCACTGCGCCGTTGCCCCTTTCCAATTTTAAGACTGCTTTCTCAAACAAACAAACGAGCCCAAATCTCTCGCTATGAAAGAGTCGCCTGTTGAGTATCCTTGCGAACAAAAGACCTCATTGTATTGATCCTTGATATCCAACGCTTTGTCATTTCGGAATAAGGGAGCGGTTATTGTTAGATTTGAAAGTTGCGCAACCGAACATCGAAAAAGTCTGGAATCAGTTCTGAAACTCAGCCGGAACAAAAGAAATAATAATCATAGCGCGAGTGATCCGTTTGAATAAGAGAGGCGAAAAATGTAAATACGCGCAGGAGATGTGACGGAGACGCTCGTAAGGATGGGACGTGAGAAGAGACAGTAATGAAGTGCAAATGGAGTTGCGTGCTGCGGCGCGTGCAGCTCGCAAGGATTAGCGCGCGCTAAATGGCGAGTCGGGCGCATCGCCATTGTTTTTTGGCAACGGCAGATCGATGGAATCGGTAGCGTGCCGCCTCCTCGCTGCTCGGTGAGCGCGCGGGGGCGCTGAGGCGCTGGGCAAGCTAAACGCTCCGTTCGCTCGTGCGCCGAACAAAGGAACAAAGGGCTCCGTCTTGCGCGCGAGAAATCCGCGCCGCGCTGTCCTGTCAAGCTGACGTGTACGCCGATGTTTTTCTTGCTCGTTTTTTGCCCGGTGCGCGACGCGAGCCACACACTAACGAGCTCACTTTCGTGGCGTTCCTAGCGTCGTTTACTATTTTGCTCGTTGCGTTGTACTCGTATATGTACCTCGTACGAGAGGACTGCACTCTAGAGCTCCATTTTTTCCTTCTCGCCGGTCTGGCCTCTCGTAAACTTCATTTTAGACATGCAAATTTGCTTAAGCTCGGATAGCAAGGATTACCAGGGATCACATCCGCGTGAGAAAGAGAAATTGGAAGGAGCGAACATGTCGGTCCCACATGGTCATCGCCCATGTCGATGCGCGTATAGCTAGACGAGTGTGCGTCAGTTGTAAGAAAGAGTCGCGTATTAAAATAAAAAATACAGCGACTAGCCGAGCCATAAGAACGCGCGACTTGCGCACAATGGACCGATCGGCGCGAAATTGATGGCCGACACGGGCTGACAGGTAGCCGACCTGAATACATCCGAGCACTCGCATGGCGCAGCTCGCACAGATCAACAGACTCTAGCAGACTCGCGCGCGCGCACGGCCACTCGAATGTGTCGTCGCCTGCGAGTCATAGTTTATTGCTCGATATCGGCACTCGGCAGTGATATCTCGCATTTGACGTTGGGCAGAATCCAGGCTACCCTCGGTCGCTCCACTCTCTTCTGAGAACGAATTTGTTGGAGGGCAGCCGGTGAGTGTCAGTAGGGGGACCGACTACCCTCGCGTCGCAAGCGCCAAAGCCTCCAGATTTATTGGCCTTTCAAGATCGAAGTCAACAAGAATGACAAAGCGCGCTTGGCGTTTTCCTGTGTCCGCAAATGCGCTACGTACATCTAGGTCCAGATGGCGCTCTGCAGACGGAAAAACAAGCCTAAAGGATCATGTGGCAAATGCATATACGTAGTGTACTGTCATTGATTATACGTTGCGCGAGAGACTATCGATAGTTGAACCGAAGACAAAAGCCAACGAACAAATTACAAGTGCCGTGGACCAAGCCAGCCGAGCCAATAGACCGTTGCTCCCACTGATTTATCCAAACGAGTGCTGTGTAGTATACTGGACGACGATCTCAGTATTGCATTAACTTTCTTACATAGAATTTAGCCCATTTCCTAGGGAAGTCGAATAATCGCGTGGTATGTAATATGAAAAAAAAACGCAGAAAGATCGTCCAGTGTAGACAATGCAAAAGCAGCCATAAAACAATTAAGAATTTACTTGAATCTACACCAACGACGCGTCGAATGATCGAGGATGGCGTCAGGAGTTCGGTTTCGGTTATAGCTCGCGCCGTGCAAGCTAATTGTCAACAGCCATCGAACTCGATGAGACTATGTGGAGACCGCTTCAATAGCGTGTTCTCAAAAATGACAGCTTGTGAGAAAATATTTATCTAATCAGATCGAAGTCATCTTCTGTTGAGTGTGCTTTATGGCACTCATTAAAGAAAGATAAGCGAGTATTTGAACGAGCATGGAGCGAGCTTTGACGTAACGAAGACTCGAAGCATACGAGTACGTTCGTGTAAATGGACGTAGACTGAAAATGGGATTTTATTTTTTATTTAACGTCATGATAAATCTAACAGAGGACTTCTGTTAAGGTTACTCGTTCTATTGAATATGAAACTCATGTCTGACAGTTACCTAAACATGCCTTGTCACAAGAATGCCACCTTCATCGCTCAGCCCAAGCGTAAATAATTTGCGAGGAAGTACTGTGAATGCTAGTCTGCGTATTTACCGCAAAGACAAAAATTTTGCTCTTTATAAATAAATCACAACGTTATCGTTATTAATAATAAAAACAGTTGATAAATTGTTTTAATTGTGATAACATAAATTGTACAAATGTACTCTCACAATATTATCAATATTTGTTTATAATTAACTTTATTACATAAATTCTTTAGCATGTTGATAATTATTTACAGACTTGTAAATACATGTATGTCCTTTTGACGGGACGTTATAAATAAACTGGCCTATAGTTACATGTAAACGATTAAAAATCTCACGAACAATACTTAGCAACGATACTTAGGGGTCGTATTGCCAAACCAGTTATTTATCAGTGCGTACAATGTCACGGCACATTTGCAATTCAGGTAAGCATGTCAAAACCAGTGTGTCTTTTCAAATTTGTTTGTCACCTTATATGTAGAATGAAATGCTATAGAACCTCTGTGACGTTCACCGGAACGCTTTTAATATAAAAAGTAAAAAAAAGAAGTTATGTTTGTAGAACGAAGTAATCATGGATTTGTTCAGCATAAAGCACGATTACGTCAATCCAAATCAAACAAACTTTAACTGAATCGGGGAATAACGTATAAGATGTATTGCGAAATCATGAATTATAGTAAACTAAGGTAAAACTGTTTGATATAGCTTTGCTTTGTTTCAACTGTTTGAAAGGCCCAAGATAAAACAGCACTATGTACGAAGATGCGATTGTTTCCTCATAGCAGTATGAAAGTGGCGGAGCAGTCGAACAAACTGAGCAAAGTTTGAGTATGAAATGCAAGTATCGCAGGATTAATAAAATGCATTAGTTGCCGATGCCAGTGTACTTGGCAATCCATTTGTAGTACTTGTGCACTCTGGTGTAAATGCCTGGGTAATAGACAGATCCGCACTCCATGCCGGAAGACACAATGCCGGCTAATTGTGCGTTGATGACAGCGGGGCCACCGGAGTCTCCTTGGCAAGCATCGGTGGATCCTTTGCCGGCGCAAAACATGTTGTTGGTTATAGGATCGCGTATGTATCTTCGGGCGCACACTCTCTGGTCGATCACCGATACGGTTGCCAGTTTCAAGACTGTCGAAGCCCTCTGATATTCCTAAAAGCGTAGCAGTTCGTTCAATGTCACGTATCATTGAAACGCTATCGCGCGATCCGGTTGTTCTACGACAACTTACGCCTTCTTTTCCATATCCAGAGATTATCATTTCGTCGCCAGTTTTTGGTGGGCTCTTGGCAACTGGGATGGCCTTCTGTCTTTCGTTGAACTTGATTGGCTTCACCAGCTATGCAAGTGCGACGTGACATTTAACGTTTTTCGCTTGGATTGCTTACTTACCGTGGCGTAAAAGGCATTACAGACCTTGATCAAACTGATGTCATTGTCGTTGGTGTAAGTATTGTAATTGCGATGAACGATCACTTTTTCGATTTGATGCTTTTGCCCTCCTCTGGACCTGTACGAAGATCCGGTGAGAATGGACATGCCATATGTATCTCTGTAAAATAGGAAGGGCCGCCCTGATTATCTGTCGGATGCAGTGACGCCCTCGAAGAGCGTCGCTGAAAAATCAACTCACTCGAAGCAGTGAGCGGCCGACAAAAGCCAATACTCTGAAATAATCGCGGCTCCGCAAATTGTCGATCCTAATTGAAGAAGTTGTGCCTGAAAAGGTATCATTTGTCGGTATACAGGATGGTAGATCACTTTGGCAGTGTGCCATTGAGTTTAGCACTTTCTCTATATCGAAACCAGTCGAGCATGAGTCGCACGAGTCGCCTAGAAAGGCGATCATCTTCTGGCGAATCAATCAAAATCGAATAAAAATCGAATAAAAATCGTCCAAACGCAACACTCACTTGGTACGGCGCTTCCGTGATCGGCGCGTAATCGCCTCCGACGATTTTGTCCATTTGTTTTTCGTCATTATCTGTAGCGAATGAATAAAAGTGGGCAAAGAGCGAGGTACGCCAAGTGAAAACGAAACAGACTTACCGATGAAGAAACAGCTTGCGCTTGAGATCAAGAGCGTAAGACAAAAGAGCTTCATGATGAAGTGCGCGAACGAAAAGCAATGGCGTAGCTGAGCAACGTGCTTTTATATTGACGAGTGCGCGCGCCGCGAAAATCACATGTGCCGTATGCAGCACTGATACGTCAGTCGCTAGTAATTTTACGGAATTTGTCTTGCTGCTTTGACACGCCATCCGAATCTAATTAATTCCTTTTATCAGCGAACTAACGGTATCTCGCGCCGACACTCGCGATCTATCGCGATGTAATCAACGCTACTTTTTACTCGCGAACGACTCGTGATCGACGCACACGCAAAGCGTTCGATCGGCAAAGAAATTTCCGCACTCTCGGTACTTTGTTATTCCAAGGTCTCGTTAATTTGCAACGCCCATTATAGTACTCTTGTATGTACATTTGTTGCCGCACAACAAGGATAAATCCTGTCCCGTTTGTGTATGTTTGCCGTCAAGTCATTTTTATCGATAATTATGCAATTTCACCGGAATCATTTAATTGCCGGCGAGCAACTCTTGTTTACTGTACTAAGAAAGTATTTTTAAAGATCGCATGAAAAATCGTTCGCAGAAAGAAGGCTACTCAAGGGGCCTGAATCATTCCTTTGACTTATCTCTTTTGTACGTGCCTTTTCTACAATCTACTTTTTCGGAAAAAAAAACTCTTGACAATAACAAATTATTGTTGTTCTCACCAGCCCACCTGGTGCCCGTAACACATGGCAACAAGCCAATTTCGCGCAGCCAAATCGCTTCAAAAGAATCAAGAAAGCGAATATACATCCTTTTGTGACAATCATAATTTAATATAACAATGCTCAAAACGATTACCATTGATTGACCCTCTTCTCGGTTCATGTACCGAGGGCAGGGGAGATCGTAGGTAAAGCAGGTGGATTATGATTTTAACCAGGGTTTTCACGTGCTACGAGATTACAGCGTTTTGCCAAATGTCACGTTAAAAATAAACGCTTATCGTCATCATCACTTGGAGCAAAAGGAAAATCAATCGGACGAACGAATGTGCGTAAAAATTATTTTTTCTTGTAAGCATTGGCAATAACGTGAAAGGTAATAGAGCAAATGCCACGCATGCCAAGCGCTGATGTGCTTGTGTGCGTCTTATGCTGCAATTCCATTTAAAGGATACTTGTGAAAAAGATACTGGAATGACAAGCAGAAATATGCGGTTTTCAAGATGTCACTTACTGTTAGTATATTTACTGCTAGAAACTAAACTACATGGTACTTTAGAAGCTAAGTTGAGTCTTGGACGCAATCCACCGTCGATATTTGAAGATTTGGGTGTAAACACCCGGATATTCCTCGGATGCACACTCCTTTCCACTTGATATAATGCCGCTCAACTGGCCGTCGATTACAGCAGGGCCGCCGGAATCTCCCTCGCAAGAATCAGTTTCACCGGTACCCGCGCAGAACATGTTGTCCGTGACCGTGTCCTCTGGTCGCGTGTATTTTCGAGCACATTCCTCGTTGCTTATCACACGAACTGTCGCGCTTTTCATTTGACGAGAAGAAAATTTACCCTCCTGTAAAGAGACAGTCACGGTTGTAGCGTGCTACCGACAATCATTCGCCGAATCGCACGATTTTGTTATTCGACGGCACTCACGCCTATTCTTCCAAAGCCAAAAATCTTCATCTGGTCGTTTATTTCGGGAAGCTTAGCCGTGAGTGTTATCGATTTCTGCTGTTGATTAAAGTTTATTTTGTCAGCCAGCTGTCAACACATTGCAAAATTAATCATCGCTCGGTTTTTTATAAGAAATCACGTGAAATTATTAAGCTATAGCTACCTCGATTAGAGCTATGTCATTGTCAAAAGTTTCCGAATTATAATCTTTGTGTATTATGATTTTCCTCAGACTGTGTTTCTCTCCTGCTCCTTTGTAGCTCGAACCTGTCATAACTACCAGTTTTTCAGTGTCTCTGTCAAATAAATATGCAAGATTAGAAGCCAATTTTTCTCCAGTTAAACATTATGCAGTTAATCACTTACGCCATACAGTGCGCAGCAGTCAGTATCCACTTCTCGGAAATAATTGATGCTCCGCATATTTGTATTTTGTTTTGAATAATTTGAGCCTTGAATAGGTTTGTAAGAAAATTATGAAGGTACGATCATTATAAGATCATTTTAACTACAATACGTAATCCCAAAGAATTTATTAAGAATAGAATCGATAGAATTAACAATGTTTTACATTGATCTATACGGAAGGTAATACTTACGAGATAGGAAGCTTCTTCAATGGAAGCTACCAGTCCTCCAACAATTTTTTCTTTCCTGGTATCACTCGACTTTTCATCTATTCAATAATACAAAATGAATATATATCGTAGATGTCTATTTCCGCAGAAAAAATGCATTGATTCGGCTGTGTAGGAGAAGAAAAAAGGAGCTTATTTTCAATCTTCGAGGCAAGCCTGAAGACAAGTGATTTTCAAGAGAACGTCCTTAATGCAACTACAAAATTTAAACATCTATGCTTTTAATCCGACGCAATTATTTTTCCTTTTCCTTTTCCAAATCATGATGGTTTGTTGGATTTTAGCGCTTCTATCGAGAAAAACAGCCGGTTATCGAGCATCCGGGTCGACGAGCCCATAAATCGCAAAAATCCAAAAAAATCAATAGCATGCACCGAGTTTGAAAATTCCGCAAAGAATTTGCTGTGGAATCGGCATAACAAATAGCAATAAGATCTGTTTACCTATATAAAATCCGTAAGTCGCTACAGCGAAAAGTAAAAGATTTACCAATTGGATCATCTTTGCGTATAAGTTAGTCGGCGTTCTCCGCGTTTGAGACTATGCCTATTATACGTCTTTTCTGGGTTTACTTATATAAGCCATTTTTTAACAACTTACGTCACGGATTAAAATTTATTTTATGCAAATAACTTGTTGTACAGATAAGAGTTACTACCACATGTAAAAAAACGAAAAAGAAATGTAATCACAAGTGTACTCTCAGGCATTCCTCTAACGAATTCCACAAGTGAACGTTATTCCGGCTGTTTAAATAATAATAGAGCTCTGTTGTATTGAATTGCATTACGATAAATAACATTGCGGTAAATCCAGGTGGCTCGGAGAGTATGTATTGCTGCTAACGATCGTTGGCACGGAAAGGTAATTCGTGTGTCATCGGTTGTTGTTGACGAGTGCACAGGTGCTCCGGAAGGTTCGCTTCGTATCGTTGCAACAATGACAAAAAAGAACGGATAGGCGAAAGCCCTGCTGCAAATTGCCAGCTCGCACTGTGCGTAGAAAGCCCGAAGGCGGACGACCAAGATTAGTTGCCGATTAATGTTGAAGCACGCTCGAGGAACGTGCAAGCACTTTGGGGCCGAACCGACCCCCAAAGTACGCGATTGAGTCGGGAAGGGCAACAATGGCGAAAAATAGAAGACTGCAGAACCCGTGGGTCAGCCAGAAAAAACGGGAGAGAGACCTGCTGGCCCGACCGCGAGTACTTGCAACAAAAGAGGCCCGAGCCCCGCACGTGCGTTCAAGGTCGAGCAGAAGCGAAACCGCCATGGTGCACGCATCTCGAAGCAGCGAGAGACCGGGGGGGGGGGGGGGCGCTCGTGCCTCAGGTGCATCCCGTCGAATTCGAGCGTGACACTGCTCTCCCTTGACGCCTAACAGCACGCGTCGGCCGCAACGAGCTGCAGCTCGCTCCCTAAATTCAAAATATTTGCTCCGAGCCTCAGCTGCTGCCTTGATTGAACGCCAAGGTTCAAGAGTAATGTGTCGTCGGTAAATGGAGATTTGGATAGCAAAAGAAAATCGGGCTGCGTAATCACGGGGGGGGGGGACGTGGCCGCATGAAAAAGCGTAATACGGCACGGCGAATCGGCTCGTTCGTAGGCGTCGCGGTCCATTCGTTCACGAGGCGTGAATCGCGCATAGTAGCCGTGTATAGCGATGCAGAGGAGGTAAAGTAGCTCTCTCGGCAGGTGCTTCTCTCGGCGATGGAGCGCGCGAATGAAATGTCAAATGGGGCCGCGAGATGCGGTGAAAGGCACTCGAGCGAGACTTAGGAAGACCCTCGGTGGCTGTTGTTGTTGCCGTTGCCGTTGCCGCTGATGTTGTTGTTATGGATGCTGCATGCCCGACTCATCCTCTCATTCTCTCGCGATTGGCGTTGCGTAACCTTCGCATTATCCAGGTCGAGATGCAGCGCTCAGTACCATCTATCCTCTTTTGCAACCAGCATCTCTTTCCTTCGTTCTACGAGCTGCTGCCGCTACTGCTGTGCGTTACATCGACGCTTTCGAATCACGTCGAGAGGCGCTGCCACGCTGCTGCGGGGATTACTCGTCGTCTCTTCATTGTTTTTTATTGTTTAGGAAGATGCCTTGGCGCTATAGGTTAATTGCCTTTGTGAGCGGAACAAATGTTATATAAGCGGCGTATAATGAGTTTCCAATCTTACTTGAATAGCCAGATCACGATAATTATCGCCATTAATTTACCCATTGGTTTTCTTCGGAATATTCAACGTTGCTACGTGATCCTGGCTACGAAAAATACACCAAGAGTTAACGTTGCGAACGTTTTCTTGCGATGTGTGGGCGTTCCGATTCACCTTCACGCGCAGAAAACTTGAGTCTTTGACGATAGCAAAGACGACGACGATAACACGAGCAATGAAAACGTGGCGTTGCGAACAAAGAATTTCCGCTTGTCGAAGACTCGCGACTACTTCGGAGCGATCGTTTTGAACCCTAGATGATAAAAGTGACGATTGTAAATAAATCATTGTCAAAGTAACTGTAGGAAAAAATTAATTACTCTACTTCGACAAGCATAAAATATGCAATTTTAATTGCAGTTTTAATGCAGCTTAGAGACATTTTAAATATGCAGAGCCCACTTCAGAACAGCGTTTGAATCATTCAAATGCTAACTATGAGATATCTTGAAAATGAGTATCGCAGACATGGGAATTGAGGAGTTGAAATGCATCAAGCTCAAATTTATGACTGGAAAATAA